ATAGCGGATCATATTTTCTTCCTTGGCTTGATACTCTCCTAAGATCTGATTGATGACCAGCATGGAGTTGTTGTGAATGCTGATCGCGGTTGCACCCATTTCTCTGGCCAACTGCAATCTGGCGAGCAGAGCTTCATACTCGGCCTCATTGTTGGTTGTCTTAAATCTGAACCGGAGGATACCGTGAATGGGAGCCCCTTTGGGGCTCAAAAGGAGAAGACCTGCACCAGCCCTCTTAGTGTCGCACTCGAGAGTCCACTCGAACTTCTTATTGGCCTTCAGAACGTTGAAGAATGGCAAACAGCGATCTGTTAACCTTGATATGAAGCGACTTAGTGTCGCTATTCACCCATTAAGGCTCATGACCTGCTTTTTATTGGTCAGAATTTCCATATCGAGGAAAGCTTGGATCTTTTCGAGGTTGATCTCTATTCTCCGTTGGTTAACCATGTATCCTAGGAACTTGCCTGAGGATACTCCGAACGAACACTTGAGGGGATTCAGTTTCATTCTGTACAGTCGGAGGATAAAAACATCTCAGCGACATGCGCTATGTGATCTGCAGCGACATGGGATTTGACCAGCATGTCATCTACATAGACCTCCATTGACTTACTGATCTGGTCGGAGAACATCTGGTTAACCAATTGCTGGTAGGTTGCATCAGCGTTCTTGAGGCCGAAGGGCATAATTTTATAGCAGTACAGTCCCCGATCTGTAATAAAAGATGTATGCTTTTCGTCTAACGCGTACATCAGAATTTGATTATATCCCGAGTACGCGTCCATAAAACTTAGCAGCTCATGCCCCGAGGTGGCATCTACGAGCTGGTCTATCCTGGGTAGTGGGAAGCTGTCTTTTGGGCAAGCTTTGTTAAGGTCGTTGAAGTCGACACAGGTTTACCACTTTCCATTGGGCTTCTTTACTAAGACTGGGTTGACAACCTAGGTCGGGTAGAGGGCTTCTCGGATGGACCCGTTTCGAAGGAGGTTATCCACCTCTAGCTTTAAGGCGGCATACCGTTTCGGATCCATTTATCTTCTTTTCTGGCGAATTGGCTTAGCTTCGCTGTCGATGTTCAACGCATGGCAGATGATATCCGGGCTGATCCCGACCATATCTGCATTCGACCAGGTGAACACATCGATATTTTCTTTTAGGAAGCTGATCAGCTCGGAGGTGAGCTGGGGGTTGAGATTGTTCCCAATCCTTAATACTTGGCTCAGCTCCTTCTGGTCGACTGATACTTCGGACAGATCCTCAACCGGCCCACTGGAAGGGCTTTCTTGAATCCGAGGATCCATATTGTCCTCGGCTGGACCTGGCTGTGGCTCGATTTGGCTGATCGCCATAGCTTATTGGGGAATGCCACGCGAGATACCCTTCCCTTTACACGCCATCTACACTGCTTTTATGTAGCAGTCGCGAGATGCACTCTGAGATCCGCTTACTTCCCCTATCCTCGTCGGGGTGGAGAACTTCATGTTGAGATGGTATATAGAAGTGACTACCTTGAAACTTCTTAGTTGAGGTCGCCTAAGGATTCCATTGAAGGCAGATGGGCAATCCACGACCAGGAATTTAGCAACTTTAGTCACTTCGTCATAGTCACCCAGCATGACTGGAAGTTGGATCGTTCCTTTGGAGATCAGGTGATCCCCTATAAAACCATATAAAGGGATCGAGGCGGGCTTCAGGTCGGCCTCATCCAAGTTCATTCTTTCAAAAGCACTCTAGAACAGGATGTTCACAGCACTTTCGTTGTCCACTAGCATCTTATAGACGTTATGGTGCCCTATGAGGAGCGTGATCACAAGTGTGTCATCGTGGGAATGATGCAGATGGGCTGCATCCTTTTTGGAGAAGGCAATTGGCTCCTCCTTGCGAACCTTTTGTGGTTGCTGCGACGTGTTCATCACACTAATTGGGCCGTGATGAACTGCGTGAGCATATCTTTCCTGGGCACCCCATGTGTTCCCCGCGAGGTGCGGCCCCCCGAAGATCAAGTTGACACTGTAATACCATGAGCGATCAAGACGCTTCTTTCTCTGCTCCCCCTGACTTTTCTCTTGTGTAGGAGCAGAATCGTCAATATACTCCTTGAAATGCCTCTTCTTGATGAGCTCTTCGATTGCCTGCTTGAGAGCTCGGCACTCATCAGTGTGATGTCCATTATCCCAATGGAAGCGACAGTACTTTTTATTATTTCTGGCTATCGCGGGAGTTTTCATGGGCTCAAGCTCTCCGAGCAGGCTGGCTTCTTTGGATTTATCGAGAATAGCTGATACAGATGCATTCAGAGGCGTATATTGGGCTCGTAGCGAGGTTTCTTTCCTTTTCGCTGATCATCAGTGGCCTTTCTACGATCAACTCTTCTGCTTTTCCCCCGTCCAGATGTACTGCCCAAAGTACCGGGGTCGCGATGGCGGAGTGCCGCCAATGAATTTTCAATCTGGAGGTACTTCTCCGCAAGGTTATAGAATCCGGTGAGGGAAACATCATCCTCAACCGTAGTTCTTTCCACAGGTCGATCTGTGGACGGACTCCCGCTATGATGAGGGTCTGAACAAACTTTTCAGGAGTATAAGCCACCTTGTTGAGTTCCCTGTTGAAACGGTCAATGTAGGACTGGAGGGATTCATCATTTTCTTGCCGTATATTGTTGAGGTAGCTTAAAGGCATTGAAAACTTTCGGTTTGCTTGGAAATGCCTTAGGAACGTCGCGCTCATTTGAGGCCACGAACTGATCGATCTCGCTAGGAGCAACTTGAGCCACCTTTGGCATGAGAGGTCAAAGTCACTGCCAAACAACGGTATTTTGCTAGATCCGAGACTTGGTGAAGCTCCATCAGGTCGTTGAATTCATATAAATGATCCTTCGGATCAGCATTTCCATTGAACGCTCGCATGTCGGGCATCTTGAATCCCGGAGGGAGTGGAGCAGCTAGCACTTCAGGAGAGAAGGGGGACGCAGATGCGACCTGCCCTTGCTCATTTTGCTGAGCTCTTAGTTGGTCTAGAGCTCGCTGCAGCTCCTCAATTTGTGGCAATGGAGCCACTTGGGGATTACTTTCACCCATGCGAGTTCGACCCTCGCGATTACGGTTGAGGACAGTCTGGAGGTCGGGTTCCTCTTCGCCTCGGCCGACAGTCCCAGCCACTCTCGACACACCCTGGCTAGAGGCGTGTGATGGTGATGAACGGTGCAGGGTATTTTCACGACCTTCGCGGTGATAAGAACCGTCCCACGAAGTGTGGGAACCTCTCGCACGATGACGATCTGGATTGTTTCGTTGGCAGTGGTAAGAATCACCCCACCCAGCGCTTTTACTAGGGTGTACCTGCCACGTGGCATGGGACAGCTCGGGCTGCGTCCTTTCACCGAGTCTTAACGAGACTGGTATTCTGCTTGGGACGCGGTCGGTGTTTGCTGGCCCTTTGGAGGCCGTAGGCCCCTTTTTTGCCACTTGCTTACCCTTTCGTCTACACGCTGCAGTGCTCGCAGCACAGGCTATTTCCCTTTGCCGTGCTTTTGCGTGACCTCCAGGCGCTTTTGGCAGTTGTACCGCCCCAGCTGACTTGGATGGCACGCTTTAGTCCAAACGATCGAACCTTCGGTTGACCGTTTGGAGAGTACTGTCAAACCTCTCCAGGTAACTTCTGATGGCAGGGTCAAGTTGTGAACTTGATGGGATATTCCCTGCAGCGCCTTGCGGAATTGAGGGTATTTTGGAAGAAGGACCCCCCTGGACTTGGGGGGTTCCTTCAACACCCTGGTTGGGTTGCTCAGGTTCAGGTTGGCGGGCCATTTGTTGTTGTAGGACCAGTGGGTTAGAGATTCTCCTGATGAAGGATGAACATTAAATCAGGTCCTCCTTCTAGCGCCAAACTATTGATGCGTGATTTTTACACCAACTAAACGCACGTGTGAAATGCTGAGCTGGCCCAGATGACACACGTGAATATAAAGGATAATGAGAGTAAATGCAAGGAGACAAGTGTTTTTAAAGTGGTTCGAATGTTAAGGAAGCAAGTCCTACGTCCATTGTTATATTATTAATGATAGAGGTCAGGTCGCATGAGCTGACTGACTTACAAATGATGGTACAAGGAAAAGAAAGCTTTCGTATTACAGAGAGAATAGCTAATCAAGAGTAAAATGTGCGAATCCCTTGAATGAGAGAGGAGCTCTCAATTTATAGTAGGATGGATTAAGACAATCATCACTGAATCTGTGAGTTGGTGGGATTATCCGTGCAAATCCTTCTTTATGTCACATTGCCCACCTTCTATAGTGATTTGTGCGATTTGACGCAGGGATTGGACACGTGAGATCACCACAGCTCCTGGCAGGTTTAGCATCCACCCATTATTCTGACAGAAGCAGACTGCGGGTGAACCCATGTTCTGACTTTTGTACGCTGACTGGACCTTACGTCAGCCCTATATTTTTCGGGCATAACAAAATTAATTTTAATTAATCTAAAAGTCAAACTAGACTTATCTAATATATTCTCTAGTCGAATTAATTAATGATTCATTTATATTGGTTTTAATTAATCGAATATAACACTGTGAGTCAAGAGAAGTATATAGCGAACATATATTATTAGAATGACGAAGCTTCAAAAGGTGAGTACATTTTGATCCTTATGAAGCGGGTGAAGAAGAAGTTAATGAAGTATTGGACAGATACGAGGTAGTAAAATGAACCTTAAAGGAAAATTAAAGGTGAGATTTCATAAGAGTACTATAATTAAACCGTAGCTTACTGCCTCAAACCCAAATGATGAATTGCAGAAAGATTATCAGGCACTTGGTGTTTGTTGTGGCCAGGCTTCATAAAAATTATACACCTGGAGATGATAAGCATTCTTATTGTATTAAGAATTTAGAAATGATGGAAGATATTACATTGAAAAACTGTTAGAATAACAGACTTCCAAAACGCAATATTACACCTACAGGTATTACATAATTTGCTTAATAGAAGATATGGTTTACATGAGAGTGAGCAACGAAATCCCAGCTGCTGTAACAGTGGCGGTGCCTCGCCAAAGATTCTTGAAGTACACACTTTTTAACGTTGCTTTGGTATGATTCCAAGGATTGTTATAGTGTGCTTTCAATTCCATGCTGGTTTTATAATAACATGACCTACTTCTATGAATTTGTAAGCTAAGTTTGTTGAACAAATTCACTACAGAAATATTATTTCCCAAACGATTTCTAATTATCCCCTTTCCAACAAGCAAATCCACATCTTTCTCACTATTAATAAGATAATCCATTATTCTCACATAGTTGCAAACTCGAGTATTCGATGGATAATGACATTGCTCCAAAGCCATTATATTTCGAAGCAAACGTTTTGTCCCATAATCAGCCACTACCAAATGAGGTATTTGCAATTCATGAACTTCAAAGTGTGAAATCAGCCGCTTTCGCTTCTCAAATCTTATGTCGAGTAACGATGTTCCTGTAATACCCTTAAACTTCACTCCCGACTCGTGCAACTTTACTACACAAGGTAAATCTGAAATGGACCCTTGCTTTAACTCCTTTCTCCGTGGGAAATTTCTGAAGAGAGTACTTCTTCTCAAATCGGTGAAATGTTTAACCACCATCTCAGCGGGTAAGGTATTGGATAAACATAAGAATTTATGAGAAAGATCCCTGAAGGTAGGAGTTTCAAAAGCTAGATTGTATAATTCCTCGAGGACAAAGAATGGAAGTTGATTTTCTAGTAGCTGCAAATCCATCTTTAGGGCAAACCTTGTTGTTGGAATCTTTAACAAAAAATTGTCACTTCTATCGTTATGGTAACTCCTTAGAAAAAGCTCGAGGACGAAGATAGCATCATGTTGAATCATGGTTATAAACGCATCACTCTCCATTTTTATGATCTCTGCATAACAATTACGAATTCGTTGTTCGTTGTTTTCTATGAAGCTTAAAAGTTCGTCACATTTCTCAACTGTTATTCACTTGAGAAAACTTTCCATATACCTTATTTTCTGTCTTTCCATGAAAGCTAATTCTTCTTTACTGTGGTGAAGAGGACCTATTGAAACTAACTGAGGAGTGTAGGCTTCTTCATTTATTCTGCGAATGCTTTTAGGAACCCTGCAAATATAACACTCAAGAGCAGGCTCAGGATCTGATAAGTTTTCTTCAGAGATATCAATTAGCAAATCTTTGCTCTGGTCCTCATCTTTACTGGCGGCAATATTACGCATCTCCAAACCCATATTCCTGAAAAAAAATAAAAAAAAATAAAATTTATAAGTAATGTTCCTCCTCCCCAATTCTGGACTGGGATCTGTTAATAATACTTCTGGTTGGTATCTTTGACTCTTCAAATTTCTATATATTCTTGCTCATCACCTTGATATCATGTGTTTCCTCTATATTCTGTGCAGATTTCAGAAGTTAAGACTATAGTTTTGAGTATGAGCTTATTTACTTAAAATTGCCTCGAGTTCCTAACTTATATGCATGCATTAGTTTCTCATATATTACAAATATTTATTCATATAAGATACTACACAATCTCTCATATCCCCATCACTTGGATGCTAATTAAGAGCTTCTTTTTTGTTTATAATCCTAAAATAATTCTAAAACAAAAATAAATAAATTGTAGACAAATATAATGTTAAGTAACTACTTACTAGTTTATGCATGTTTTTAGGTGAAATGACATCTAATATACATTAAAATGAGTTGATATATATAACATCTTAAACTATTCTCAGAGTTAGAAACTGTAGAAACATAGAACAAATTTGTTTCGTTTTCTTTGTAAGCATATACATTGATATTCATAAATGAAATGAATATTCATTCTATGTTATTTATGCACAGTTTATTAATTTTTTAAACCAAACATTGGAATAACTAGGAATAATTTCTTTTGCACCAGAATGATAAACAGAAAAAACACGAATATATAATTAAAAATAATGAAACAGGTGCGCATTTAAACCTGAATATTTTGGCCAGAAATTAATAACTAGCCGATAGCACCAGAGCTCCTCCTCTCAAATATATACTTAATCGCAGAGAAATGCCCCCGTAAACTTATGGTATCCCACTTCCTCGGTCCCTCTCTTCTCGACACGTCCACTATATATAATTTAACACCTGACAGTCCAAGAAGGCTAATGGGTAATTGAGTCAACTCTTCTCCCACGTGTTGGTCAATAATTAAATAGATACCAAATGGGTAACAACCATCTGCAAGAAATAAATGCTTGTATAGAGGTTTATCTGGTTACACCCAACAGATAATAAACAGAAGAGAGTTATAATTAAAATGGTAAAGAGGGTAACAGACAGGCAATTTAAAGAAAAAATAGAAAAAGAAATTGAATGAACAAGGAAGACTTGGGGCTAAGTCTTTTGCCAGTATCTAGGCCTCAATTGACGGACCTAAAAGATAAAGTGTATTTTTTTATCAATAAATATATATGGAAGTGGATGGCTTATCATGCATGATAGAGTTAGTTGTCTTACATGAACAATAATTAATTGTTGACAGCAACTATCATGCATGATTCACGTTGTAGCAAATAATGAAGAGCAAAAAAATCCTTGAAGATAATATTGTAGAGTGATTTGAGATTGAGTAACTAATTTTTTAAGATAATATTCTACAGTATAATACCATATTTTTCATCCATTCTAAACCTCTTGGTAAAGAAAAAAGAAAAAACAGAATAAAATGAGAGTTCTAGCAACCAAGTATTACATGGAAATCATAAGCATCCATAGTAGGAATTAATCCAATCAATTAAACATACTACACATATTATATACTGAAGCAAATCTATTAATTAATTATCATAAAACAAATTAAGAACATGAATAAGTGAATTAATCAGAACCTGAATATTTTGGTAGAACATGTAAAAATAATAGTGTGGTTGAGAGCAGTAGTTTCCCGATCCCGAGATCCTCCTCTCGAATACTATCAAAGCTCACAGGGATTTGTTACTGCCATAATACGTTTTCTCTTCTGCTTTCATTATTTGCCTTACTTTGTGTTATATATAAACAAGTTTAACTTTTCAATTTAACGATTAAATAAAGACTAAGTAATGTGAACCAACAAACCTATGCACACAAGTTGTCACCTGCTTCCTCGGCTTCTGCGCATATGTCCTATTTAAAAAATGCTAATTAATTGAATGACCAGATAAAAGTCAAAGTGAAGTCAATGTAAATTAATTAACTGGGACTTTCTACATAATTTACAAAGACCATGTACCTAACACCTATTTAAAAAATGCTAATTGAAGGATTAAAGAAAGACTAAGTTAACATCAACCTTAAATAAACTGGGCCTACTGCATAAAATAAGATTAATCCTAAAGAATATGTTACAATATATGCCATGTGATAAACAACTCAAGTCATTTTGTTCATATTTATAAGGTTTTGCTATTGTATACAAATCTTTAGTGAGTAGGAAAATCATATGACGCACCCATGGGTAGCCCAACGGTAAAAACGAACTAAGAGGGTTATACTTGGCTTCAATCTACAATCTCAAGTTCGATTCTCCGTTAGGCACAAAGGTAGTATCTTTGTTTATGATTTATTTAAAGGNAGCACCAGAGCTCCTCCTCTCAAATATATATTTTAATCGCAGAGAAATGCCCCATAAACTAATGGTATCCCACTCCCACAGTCCCTCTCTTCTCGACACGTCCACTATATATATATATATATATATATATAAAAGAAGACTAATAGCTAATTGAGTCAACCCTTCTCTCCCATGTGTTGGTCAGTAATTAAATAGATATATACCAACTGGGTAACAACGATCTGCCAGAAATAAATGCTTCTATAGAGGTTTATTAGATTAGTTGGCCATACCCAAAAGATAATGATAAACAGACGAGAGTTATAATTAAATTGGTAAAGAGGGTAAGAGACAGGCAATCAATTTCTTTTCAAACTTTCAAAAAAAAAGAAATTGAATGAACAAGGAAGACTTGGACTAAGTGTTTTACCCAGTGTCCAGACCCTTAAGTGAGGGAGCTCAAAGATGAAATGTATTTGTCAATAAATAAATATATATGGAAGTGGTTGCCTTGTCAGAGTTAGTTGTGTTGCATGAACAATAATTAATTGGTGAGAGAAACTATCATGCATGATTCACGTTGTAGCAAATAATGAAGAGCAAAAAAATCCTAGAAGATAATATTGTAGAGTGATATGAGACTGAGTAACAACTTTTTTAAGATAATGTTCTACAGTATAATACCATATATTTCATCCATTCTAAACCCCTTAGTGAAGGAAAAAAAAAAAAAAAAAAAGAATAAAATGAGAGTTGTAGCGACCAAATATTACATGGAAAACATAAGCATTAGTACGTAGGAATTAATCCAATAAATTAAACATACTGAAGCAGTCCTATTAATTAATTATCATAAAACAGATTAAGAATATGAATAAATGAATTAATTAAAACCTGAATATTTTGGCAGAAAATGAAGAAATAATAGTGTGGTTGAGAATAACAGTTGCCCGATCCCGAGATTCTCCTCTCGAATACTGTTAAAACTCAGAGGGATTTGTTACCGTCGGTAATATGTCCACTATATATATATAACACCTGACAGTCCAAGAAGATTAATAGCTAATTGAGTCAACTTTTCTCCCACCTGTTGGTCAATAATTAAATAGATACCAAATGGGTAACAACCATTTGCAAGAAATAAATGCTTCTATAGATGTTTATCTGATTATCTGGTGATACCCAATAGATAATAAATAGAAGAGAGTTATAATTAAAATGGTAAAGAGGGTAACAGACAGGCAATCAAAATTTTTCAAAATTTAAAGAAAAAATAGAAAAAGAAATTGAATGAACAAGGAAGACTTGGGCTAAGTTTTTTACCCAGTGTACAGGCCTCAAGTGACAGAGCTAAAAGATGAAATGTATTTATTGATCAATAAATATATATGGAAGTGGTTGGCTTGTCATTCATGATAGATTTAGTTGTCTTACATGAACAATAATTATTTGGTGATAGCAACTATCATGCATGATTCACGTTGTAGCAAATAATGAAGAGCAAAAAAATCCTTTGAAGATAATATTGTAGAGTGATTTGAGATTGAGTAACTATTTTTTTTAAGATAATGTTCTACAGTATAATACCATATATTCCATCCGTTCTAAACCTCTTGGTGAAGAAAAAACAAAAAACAGAAAACAGAAAAACAGAATAAAATGAGAGTTGTAGCAACCAAATATTACATGGAAATCATAAGCATGTAGTGTATGAATTAATCCAGTCAATTAAACATACTATACATATTATATACCGAAGCAATCTTATTAATTAATTATAGACGGCAAAATCTACGGTTACGAAGATAGAGTATGATCCTGTGAGGTTGAGGCCACCAGTAATCTGTTGCACATGCGAACACAAGAAAACAAGCGTGAAGCTTACGGAAAGCACCGGGATGGTGTTTGCCTAAGTACTCCGACACTCAAGTCAGCAAGGCTGGGTGAGGCTAATTTAGAGAGGGTAAGGGAAAGAGAAGGTTACCAAGAATCTAGCCGGAGATTAGGACTATGGCGGCAATGTAAGGCTTTCGAGAGTGAGACTATGGGGCTAGTAGGCGTAGTCTTCTGTGCCTGTGAGAGAATTAACCTCTTGTTTAAATCCTAGTTAGTAAATACGGGTACGGTAAAAAAACTGTAAGGAAATTTTACGGGTATAATACGGCAAATGGTAAAAAATACGTTTGTAAAAATTTGGTCATAAAATTTGGATACAGAAAAAATACGATATGGATATATACGGGTTTAATACGATACATTATCAATAATACGTTTTGAAAAATACGACAATTAAGAGAGATCCTTTTATTAGCATATTAACAAAAAAATCCATGGTTTAATTTTTTAAAAAGAATTAAATCATGACAACGCCTCTTTAAAAGAAAAACTAATTAAAATGGTAAAAAAATATATGGACTTAAAATTGTGATTAAATTATGGTTGAGCTGCTTGAGCCTCTGTATTTTTGTTAATTTATTTAATTTCCTGATGGCTAAAAATGAAATGGGGAATAAAGTAGGGACACGTGGATGAATGGTCAAATGGACAGTGATCATGCAGGATAATGTGTTGATTCCATCCCATCATCCCGCCAACACGTTAACACCATTGGCTTTTTAAAATTTAAATTGGATATTATTTCCAAGTGTATGAATGAGATTGGTGCATGAAGGAGCATTTTATTAATTAATTTTATGGAAATAAAAGAGGCGGGAGAAAATGACTCTCCTGTAAGCTGAACACATAAAAGGCCATTGAAGTGATTGATATGACATACAATTACACTACCTAGAAGAAGTACGAAGCAACATTTATTAACATTTTTTTTTCAAAAATATGGATATACCGAATAATTCGCGAAGTATTCGGCACACTGATAACATATGGAAATTCGTGTTTTATACGTGAATTATATATCTGAACGTATAATTCGCATATAAAACGCGAATTTACTAACTAGGGTTTAAATAGCAGTTATAGGATCTTCGAGTCCTAGTAGGACTGTGAGTCCTTGGAAGTTGAGGTTTAGTGAAAAAGAAAGCCTTTGACTCCCTTACCTTATTAGTAGAGGGAGTCCCAGCGGGTCTAAGATACGGATGTTAGACGAATCAGGATAGTAATTAATCTCTTCAGTAGAATCCGAATAGTGTCGGAGTAAGTAGGCAACCTTGGGATCCAAGTAGACCCTAATTCCGACAGGTGGTCTTGGATCACTAGGCCCAGACCCAGACCCAGACAAGCTAATGGTGAGGTCTAAACGAATCGGGGCCTTTATTGGTTGGGCTCAAGCAGTGAGCAACATGATAGGTGTAATGAGCAGGCCTAATATGCAAACCCTGTCATGGGCCTAATCGGAATTGGGCCATGACTCCAAGCTTTGTTGAATGTGTCTTTGCCTTGGGCCTATTGAGGCCGAGGACATTTTTTGGCCCTAACATTAATTATCATAAAACAAATTAAGAACATGAATAAGTGAATTAATCAGGACCTGAATATTTTGGCAGAAAATGCAACAATAATAGTGTGGTTGAGAGTAGTAGTTTCCCGATCCCCGAGATCCTCCTCTCGAATACTGTCACAACTCACAGGGATTTGTTATTGCCTGTAATACGTTTTCTCTTCTGCTTCCATTATTTGCCTTACTATTTGTTATATATAAACAAGTTCATCTTCTCAATTTAACGATTAAATAAAGACTACAGTAATGTTAACCAGCAGACCTATACACATAGGTTGTCACCTGTTTCCTCGGCTTTTGCACATATTTCCTATATAAAAAATGCTAATTAATTGAACGACCAGAGAAAAGACTAAGTGAAGTCAGTGTAAATTAATTAACTGGGGCATACTACATAATTTACAAAGACCATGTACCTAACACCTATGCTGTAAACTTGAGTTAATCTTATCCTAATAAAGATTCAACACAATCAAATAAAGATCAAACATAGAAAAGGAACAACATGCAATCTTTTTACCGTGGTTCACTTATTCAAGATTAAACAAGCTACGTCCACATTGAGCTCCAGAATATGGAGACTTGCTGCACTATTATTATTGTCACCAAAGATTACAACATACCACTCAATCTTCCCTTCAAGCCCTTACTAACAAGAATCACACAGACTTCACTTCTATACCCATAAATCTATAACCCTAATGAGAATTCTAACCTGATTCTCTACACCACAAAGAAACACAACTTTGATCGGTGAATCAACCACTGATTTACACAAGAGCAAAGTACTACACAAAGAACCCTAGCAGAGCAGTTTTGATTAAGCGATTTTGATCGAAAAAGACTGTTGAGAATGAGGAAAGACTTTAGCTTTTATATGGTTGACCAGCAGTAAGTCTTCAGCCGTTAGATTGCTTAGAGATCAATGGCCAGAAATGCAAGATGTATTAAAGCTAAAACGATAGCGTAAATGCTTCACTCATTAACAATCTCCACCTTGAAGCCTTGTTTTTTCTCCAGACAGCAACAAATTTGTGTAGCAAGCTTCTCACATTCTCCTTCTCAGCTTTATAAGATCAGTTGATGTGCAGTAGGTTCAAGCAATGCTTGAACCTTGCAAGAGTTACCACTTTTGTTCCCATATTAGCTGGGTTCTTTTCAGTTGGTATTTTCAGCAGATTCAAATTCCCTTTAGTGATTTGGTCTCGGACAAAATGATACTTCACATCTACGTGCTTCGTCCTCTCATGATATACAAGGTTTTTACTTAGATGAATGGCATTTTGACTGTCAGAATACACAGTCACAAGTCCATCCATCAAACTTGCTTCTTTCAAAATCTCTTGCAACCATATTGCCTCCTTAAATGCATCAGTCACTGCCACATATTTAGCTTCTGTTGTGGATAATGCAACCAATGGTTGTAGTTATGATATCCAACTGATGCAGTTTCCTCCTAAGGTGAAGCAATAGGCTGTAGTGGATTTCCTTGAGTCTTGATCACCTGCAAAATTAGAGTCTACATACCCAACAAGATCAAGTGTAGAGTATCTTTTGCAAAAGTCTAATCCAACATGCATTGTGTTGTTAATGTATCTAAGCAGCCATTTTAATACAACCCAAAGTTCTATTCCTGGATTTGACATAAACCTACTCAATAATGATATTGCAAATGAAAGATCAGGTCTTGTGCTTATCATGGAGTACATGATAGATCCAATGGCACTTGATTAGGGGATAATTTCCATTTTTAACCTTTCAACATTAGTTTTTGGGCACTGCAATTTATTCAATGTAAAGTGACTTGCTAAGGGTATGTTAACAGGTTTATATTCAGTCATTCCCAACCTAGAAGTCAGTTTTTACAGGTATGGTAATTGGTGAAGTTTCAGCCTATTTAATTTTGAAATACACATCATTGACACTAATATTCAAGAAACTTATAGAGTAAAGTTGGCAAAGAAAAAATCCTTTTGGTTTGAGCCATTGCCTGATGTGAAACAGAAAAACAAAAATAAATTTTCTTTTCACAGAGACAAGGCCGGGAATGAATTTTACTATTTTTTGGAGCCATTCAAGCACATTGTTAAGAGAAGGAATCTGAGTTGTGATAAAGAGCTTGGATTGTGCTGGTTTGGTAATAGACCTATCATCAAATTTGATTTCCCAGTTGTGCATTCACCAAGGTTGGAACTACATAACATTAGCATTTGAGAGGTAAGTTGATTTATCACAAAAGATTTTAGGCTAGCTTGCCACAATACACATATTGTAACATGTCAGGCAATGTGCAGGATGATTAGGAAAAGCAAAGAATCCATGCCGCCAATAAGTTATACTTGAAGAAGCCATATCAAATGTATTCTTTGATTAAAATTTTAGTACTTGACATTGATTTTGAGAATTTGCGCATGTGTTTCTGTGGCTAAATGATGAATTTTCAAACTCTTCTCTTCTGTGTAACAAAGTTTAATTGTGGTATAATCCGAAATTTTTATAATAAAAATGATGTAAAAGGTGCACGGTCTTAAGTTCGATTCTCCATATAAGTATTCACAATTTAAGTGGAAACTGTGACCGTAGCTTGCTACTCTAGTCTCTCCCAACAATTAATTGAGATACAGGTAACCTTACTCAATTAAGGTTAAAGAAAAAATAATGTAAAAGTGATAAGAGTAAACGACATATTCCCACCCAAGGTTTGATGAAATCCTAAGTTAGTACCATCGGTTTCATTTATTCCAGATTCCCACCCTTAAAGTGACGAAAAAACGTTTGATGTAACGGTAAAGGGGTAAATTGGTCATTTTACATGGGCGGCGCACGTTAGCAGACCACCGCCTGTACAGTCCTCCGGTGCACATTAGCAGCCAGCGTTCCCGACATTTTTTGCTCTTTTTCTAGCGATTCTTCTACCCAAAATCACCCTTGTCACCTCTATTTGACTCCTTGCATCCTCCCCTACAAAACCCCTAACCTTTCCAGCCATGGCAGCTCACCGTTTGCCGTCCACCACTTCATCGAAAAATGATCGATGAACAAGAACTCTCGGCCGATTAATGATGACGAAACTGTTGCTGGGGACATAGGAGTTTTATAGATTTGGAGACGATGGTTGCATTGGTGTTGTCCAATTGGATTTTCACCGTCAGAATCGACCGGAATCCGGTGAAGAACACTGAAACCCTAAGCCTAACAGCGCTAGCGATTGGAGGGGCAAATGAGTCGGGATCCAAAGGGGTTTTGGACGACGGACTACGGGGAAGGTGATGGAGGTGACCAGGGGGTTCGACGTCGTAGGAAACAGCCTAGATCGGGCTGTTTTCGACTAGGGTGTATAGTGACCGAGGGTGTTTTTGATATAATTTGAAAACAAAATGGTAAGTTTTATAATTCTACTGATTTAGGGGTTAAAACATAATTTATTAATTTATGGTTAAGGGTATTATGATAATTGCACTCTCTAAAACCTAAAAATTTATAACACTATTACTTTAAAGGTGGGAATCTGGAATAAATGGAACCTATGGTAACTCAAGCTTCCGTCCAACCTTGGGTGGAAATATGTCGTTTACTCAAGTGATAAATATTAACATAGAACCGCTAACCGCAGTCGAGAGTCTTACAACCCGCCCCATAAACTCTCGCTTGTATTGTCATGGATATAAAGTAGCAGCTGCTCAGCCTAATATACACGAGATTAGAGAAGGAATTATGGAGAGCAACGTTAAAAGCGGGTCGTCAGCTTCCTCAGGAGATCCGAACCCGTGCCCCATCTGTCTCGGACCCATGGTTCAAGACTCCTATCTTGATAAATGCTACCGTATGTTCACTCCAACCCTTTGTTTGGTTGCCTAGAAAATTACTGGAAAAGAAAATAAAATAAATAAAATTGGGTTTATCTTTTGTTTCTTCTAGGATATGTTTTTGACATTTTCATGAGTTGGGTTTCTCCAAAACATTAATTTAAGAAAGCCCTTTATGTCGAAACAGTGGAAGATATCGCTTATGTATTCATTAAATTTGTTTATTGGTAAAGTGACGATTTTATATAGAATCGAAGAGAAATTAATTGCGGCAAAAATGAATTTAACGTTAAAGATTAGATTTTTAATTTGTTGATATTTCTTGTTTCGATAACGTACTGGAATTGTGCTCGCAATCGACATTGTTGTACTTTGCGTTATTTACTTGTTATTTATTTATTTATTTTTGGGGGATTACATCTGTGAAGTTAAGTGTGACTTCAAATTTTTATTTTGAAAAATATTCTGCCTGCATGTGCATTTAGCTACAAGTTAGAATATATGGATTGAGAAGAAAGTGGAATTTATCGGTTTTGATCATTCGTGAAGGCTTTGGATTTGCATTGCTGTGGTGCAGATAAGTTTTGTTATAACTGTATTATACAATGGACTAAAGTGGTTGCTAGCAAGCATTCGAGCCTGCTTTCTTCGGTAAAGTGTCCTTTATGCAAGGTTAGTGTTGTTTAGCATCTTCACGACATCTGCTAATATGATTTTCTAGTTGGGTGGGCTGGCAAGCCATGACAAGATGTAAATTTGAAAAGTTTTACTGATTATGCTATGTTTATACCAAGATGCAGACTGAGAACTTTTCAATCATCTATGGATACGATGGAACTCATTTTCAAAGGCATTATATTGGTCAAAATTCTGGGGATAGGTAACTCTTTTCTTCAAAATTTTCTTTACATGTTCATTAGATGTCTTTTTTCACTCTTTTACTTTTTCTAATTGCAGGTTTATCTTTTCAAAAGCCCATAAGTATAGACTGCAATGCTATTACACAGAATCAGGTCTTAAGCAGCGTTTCATTTGATTCTTTGACTTTAAATTTCTTGCCGTCATTCTGCTAATTTATCTTCTGACAAATCACTCGTACCCCATATATGTTTTTCAGTCAATTATGTGTTCAATCAGGTATCTTAAATGACATATTCAATGTTTCTCGGTACTGGAAGTCTGGTAAGTATCTTCAGTCAAATCAGTGGCTGCTTGGTTGGTTGAGAAGGGAAATCCAAGCTCTGATGCAGGTATGATGTTCATCAGTCTCTTGGTGCTTGCAATTTCTTGCCCTTCTTTACTTAGAGCATGGTTGGACATCCAGTTAAAAGTTAAATTTCTCTATTAGCCCTACAGTAAATCCTCTGAAACTAAAAGGAGATTCCCTAATTGCCATGCCGAATATTGGTTATATAGCTTTTACTTGAACCATCCTTTTTATGTAGTAAAGCATTGTTTGTAATCATGGCACCTATATCTGCGAATGTTTTTTCCAATGGAGTGAGTTATGTAAGACACTGAGATTTATTTTGGCTGTCAGAAATTTTCTTTTTTTGAAGTTCATCTAGTGGCGATTATTATACCATTTTCTCATTTTCAGCTGGAATATAACCCATAAGTTGGTGATGCTTGTAATGTTTATCTCATTTACCTTTAGAAGAAGCCCTATGTTTTTCTCCAAATTGGAGGAAAACGGTTTCACTATATTTTATTGTCTGAATTGCTTTCTGGAACATAAGCTGGTGATGCTTTTCTTGTCGAATTCAGATTATGAATCTATTTCATTGGGATAGCAAGATTACTGGACAATTTTGATCTGTTTTCTTTGTGAGAATAAAGGATAATTGACTAGATTTTTGGAGTACATATTGAAAAGTTCCTGTTGTTGACCGTAAATTTTTAGCATTTTGGAGCTGCATCTAATAGCATTGGCATGATTCTGTCTTTAATTTTTTTTTTCACTAGAACAGACTGATTTCTAGTCTTCTGTGTCTCTTTTGGACTATGAAACAAAACTTTTGGTATTGGCAAGTTTAGGACCACCTGTATTATGGATATTGTCTATAATTGTGCTGTTTACAGGAGCTGGCCATGCATTTACCTCTTGCAAACTTGTTATATGTTATATCACTAGTAAAATTCCTCTACATTTTGTTGACTATTTAAGACTGGTTTGCTTGCTTTTTTATAGGAGGAAGATGTTGAAATTGTTGTGCATCACATAGTTGGTGTGGTTGATTCATTTTTGAGGAGGTAATATTCAGTGTTGCTTGCATCTTAAATTTATGGTAATTGATTTGAAATTTCTATCAATTGAAACACCGTTTTTGTTTTCAGTTTTTTGGTTATGTATGATGAAACTTGTAATTTAACTTACCCAAATTTGCTATGATTTCCAGAAACGAGCATATGCGACGAGTAGAAAACCCTGAAGCAAAACAAGAAGACTTTAAGGCTCTAGTCTCTGATGCGGCAAGACCTTTTCTAATGGCTAGAACAGATCGATTTGTGAACGAGATGGAACTTTTTCTTGCTTCTGGGTTGAACATTGAAGCCTATGATGCAGTCTACATGCAACGGCTGGGTTGGAACACTCCTAGAGTAACTATCGAGTCCACGGAAAGGGAATCCGGTGGGCTGGCCCCTGTAATAGTCCCATACTTGTATATCTTTGATGAGGATTCGGATGGAACTGATTGAATGTTTTCTTGCTATTGCTGGAGTTTGCATTGACTTCATTTTATGAGTTGGTACTTTGTTGCCAGTTCTTGATA